AATTAATATAAATCACCTAAATATCATAAATTTATCCCATCATTTTATAAATGTATCAAATTGTGTATAAAACTACTTTTTTTTATAAAATATCATGGAACCTACACCAAGGGAAACAGACTATATTATTTTTTGAAAATAGCTTTTTCAAAAACTGGATGAATATCTCATTTCCTGAACCTAGTCTTGGATATCTGGGGTAATACCACTATTCCAATTTCTGATTATAATTCTTTTGATTCTTCCTCATGCCCAATGTAACCAATGTAAAAATGATCAGACCTCACAATTTTGGAATATAATTAAAAGTAACATTGACATATTTAGCTTGAAAACATTTAGTATATATAAAACATTTACTTTTATATGTTATAATTTATTTCCAAAAGAAATCAAAATGGGACCTAATTATATCATATGTTTTAATGTATCTCTTATATCAACACACACAAACACTTATATTGATACATTTTTCAGAAGTCTAATAGAGTTGGAATAAAAAAAAGATGAATTTAAAAATCAAATTCAAAGAAACAAAGTTTTTAAACGCATTCATGTTCAATTATTGGGTATTGAAAGTCTGTCATAATCTTTCATAAATCAAAAATAATTTCAGCTTTGTAACATCTCACATAATTTCAAACTTAGATTCGTAATTTCAGAACTAGCCTCAATTTTAAAAAATGACAGCATCTCAAGTTAATGCATATTAAAAATATGCTTAAGTTAATTATATTGCTATTGATTTAAGCAAAGAAAGTTCCACATTAATTGTTGAAAAATTGTAAAACAATTACAAAATAATTGAATTAATGTGTCTATTTTAGTATTTGCCCATTCTTTCCACAGACTATCTTATCACCTATTTTTAAAGCAGAGTTTTTCCATAAAATTAAATATTCATGAGACCCAGCATCAAAATCCAATCTACATCCCCTTAGGGGCCAAACATGTTTAGCTGCATGTAAGACAGGAAATGAAAAAAAGTTTTTTCTTGGGCTTATATTGATCTGAGTAATTGCCAAGATCTAAACAGGGATACATAATATCTTCTGAATAGAATCCATAGAGATTGATATTCAGTTAAATTCTTATTCCACATAAATATAGACAATCAAATAAATGTCCAATGATATTTTTAAAAGTCTGGCAAATAAAAATTTCCTTCTTCATGACATCGTACCCATTTAGCCAATGAAATTTTTAGAGGCCTGTCTTGTCATATAAATTTCCTTAGATCAGTATGAATTTTTTTTAAAAAAATCTATTTTGAATTAACAGCAGGATAACTCTTAAAATATATATTAAGGAGTAATATTAATTTCATTAATATTGATTTTACCCACCAATTAAGTGGAATTTTAACCCATCAATTACAGATGCTTATTGGTTAATGACAGTAACTAGGACCAGAATTTCTGTCACTAAGCAATGTGGTCATAAAGAGCAATGTCACATGACCACATTGCTTAATGATGAAAATCCCAGCACTTCCAATTACCATTATTAAGCAAGAACAACAAGTCATTAAATGAGTCCCTAGTGGCTTGCAATCAGGCCAGCACGTAGGTAAAGTATGGTACGCAATATGTACACAGCAGGGCCAAATATGGCTACTGCCTGGCAGGGGAGGTTATGCAAGTGGCCTGTGATACATGGTGCTAATGCAGAGGGACTGAGGTAGGCTGGTGCTGGGCAGGGAACAGTGAGTGATTTCCTCTACCATAGGCCACTCTCACCCTAAGGAGTTGTGGAAATCTAACAAGATACCAAATGGTGATCATGTGACCATGATATGATGTAACCATTATGAGCATCCAAATTTTGACCGAAATAGTGAGACAACCAGAACTTCAAGTGCCATTGTAACTTTGAGCAGTCACAGAACAAATGTCAATAAACAAGGACTACTTGTAATATCTATAGAAATCAAGAGTACAGTTAATAATAATGATGATGATGATGATGATGTTGGAAGGGACCTTGGAGGTCATCTAGCCCAACCCCCTGCTCAGGCAGGAAACCCTATACCATTTCAGACAAATGGCTGTCCAGTCTCTTCTTAAAAACTTCCTGTGTTGGAGCATTCATAGCTTCTGGAGGCAGGTTGTTCCACTGATTAATTGTTCTAAATAAGTTCTAGTGATAAAGTCAGTTTTCTGACTGACTACTAAACTATGTTTTCTCCTTAATCTCTTAGGAAACTCATCCAATTCTTGCAGATTTAAATTTCCACAGAATGTAATTTTAAGAATGCTATTCTACATTTGCCTGTTTTGTACTTGAGTGTTTTCTAATCACTTTTTATTCCTGGCAATTGCCTGCAGTAGTCTTTGTAGTCTTCTTGTCAGAAATGGTTTGCTCTTACCTTCTTTCTAGGGCTGAGAAAAAGTGATTGGTCCAAAATTACCCAAGTGGCTTTGTGTCTACAGCAGAACTAGAACTCACAGTCTCCTGATTTCTAGCCTAATACCTTAACTATTATCCCGTGGCCAGCTATGTATATGACTTTAAATGAGTGAGAGAGATAGGCTTAGTCTATCTATTGCTCTTGTCAAAGCAATTTTCTCCTTTTAGTTTCTATTCTTGAATATACTGAAAAAGATTTGCTTCTGTTGTATCTGTTGACACCCATCAGATGGATATTGACTCATTCTAATCACAATGGGTAAGTAACAGTATTTTAATTATCTTTTAAAATACAGTAGTGACTTGTAATACTTGGAGAAAGCTGAGAAAATGATCAGAACAAAATAGAAAGAACTTCTCCTTTTTTTCTCCCTTCAGCTCAACTTCCAATGCTTGTGCTGTAAATGCTATCTGATAACTGTTGATGCTTAAATATCCAATTATCCATTTTCCCACCAAAAGGTTTAAAATGCAATAAATCAAATGAAGCTGATAGCCACACCATCCATCATAAAAGTATATTTTTCATTTTTCTTTCCCATTAATGTTGTTTCTAAAGTTGCAATGAAATAAAATGCAATAAAATAAAACTATCTTCACATTTCAAGGTGTGGATCAGGGAGCAGATGGGGGGAACACGTGGAGGTGTGTGTGTGTGTGTGTGTGCATGTGTGTGTGCATGCGCAAAGTCTAGGAAGGGTTGGTAGTGGTTCCTTTCTCCCTCCCTCCCCTTCTCAGCAGTCAAGTGACTACTGGGTGGGGACCAAATGAGGGATTGTGAGAGTGGCTGGGAAACTGTCACAGAACATTAAAAATTAGAATCACTAGACCAGAATAGGTACCACTTATGTCCCTCCCTCCCTTGAATCCCTGCTAGCACAACTTCCCCAAATTTCCTTCTCTTGGAATTTTCAAATTCACCCATTTGAGTTACCTTGGTTCAAAAATTGCCCTGTGGTGCCTTGTTCCACCCAGTTAAAACTTATATATATATATATATATAGTCAAGTCTACCATGTGCCCTTTTCCATCCAGGTGCCGTTCCAGGGAGTTGGTTTGCTTTTGTTAGAATGAGACTGCCAGGGCTCTTCAGCAGCTGCTTGGCAATGGGACCTTTCAAACAGAAATGCAAGAAAAGATGCCAGTTCTGTCTATAGAGATATACATATTTGCAATCGATAGGGATGGGTAAAGAAACCGGGCGGGGTAGATGGGAAGCGCAATATAAAAGAACAAGCAGCCACACTGGCAACCTCTTCTCTCTTTCGCTGTTTCTCGGGCCGAGGTGGCCGCTAATCAAGAAGGGAGCCTGATTTGGTGCTGGGCACGCCTGCCTGCTTTCCTCTACCTGAGCTTGCTTCTGCAACAAAGGCCCAGCAGCCGGCAGTAGAGAGCACCGCGTCCACTTCCAGAGACAGCCAACGCCGCTTCCTTAGTTGGGGAGAAAGGTACCAGGAGCGGAGCCAGCAAGCTCCCTGACGTGCCCCCAGAGAGCAGGCAGGTGGCGGCACCCGGGGACCTGTCCTTCTGCCAACCGAGACCGCCCCTCATTTCCCTCTGACGGCTGTTGCAGCAGCAGCAGCAGAAGCCCAGCCAAAGCAGCCGCTCTCCGGGGGCGACTCCCCCTTTCTCTCTCTTACGTCTCCCCCTCCCCCGAGGTTCTTGTATGCAATCCCGCTCAAAAGCACCGCAACAGTCTCTCAACTTCGCGGTTTCCGCCGCGACGCAGGCGGGGGTGGACGCGACACCGAGGTGCCATTTAAGAAAAGAAAGCCTGAGAAGAGAGCAGAGGCGAGGGGCCGGGTGTGCGGGTGAGAAGGAAGATGTTCCCGAAGTCTAGGGCAGAGCTAAGGACATAAACGGATTTGAGAGGTCTTCCCCCTATTCCCACTTTTCCTTTCTCGCCTTCCATCCTCCCTCCCCACCGCCCCGCGGGCTTCAGACTGGGATGAGCAGGGAGCGGCGGCGGCGGCGGCCGTTGCCTTGCAAACATTGAGAGACAGCGCCTGTCATGTTTCTGTGCAACAGCCAGCTCCCTTCTCCTCCTCCTCCTTCTGTTGCTGTGCTGCATTGGGAATAGCCGCGTTGCCATTGAACGGAGGGACCGAGGCAAAGAGAAGCTCTGACCGAGCGCTGACAAGAGGTTTTGCTGCCGTTGTCTGAGGCAAAACAAAACAAGGAGGGATGCTGGTTAGCGAGGCGTGAGAGAGCGAGAAAGCGAGAGCGGGAGAGAGTGTCAGACTACAGAAGGAGCGGAGCTCGCTTGCTTCTCTCTTTCCACCTGCCCGGATGGCTGGATGGATCAAGAGCTGAGCCCGGCTGGCGAACAAACTTGCAAAGGCCGTCGGATGCCTTCGGGAGACGCCGCCGTTCTCGCTGGATGCCGGGACACCATTTCCGCCCGCGCCGCTTTGCACAAGGGGTGGGAGGGCGCCGAAGGCGATTGTTGGCGCGGCGGCTGCTGCTGCTGCTAACGCGATCCTGATGTCCGCTCCTTCCCGGGACTCAATGGCGGCGGCGGCGGCGGCGGCGGCAGATAGGAGCCCCTTGAATCCTGCCCAGGCTCGCTTAGCCTCTCCCACCATCTGATTGGATACGGCTGGGCTCTGCGTGGGACTGCGGGGCTGCCGCGAGGGCTCGGAGAAACCATGGGTTACTGCAGCGGCAGGTGCACGCTGATCTTTATCTGTGGCATGCAACTGGTAAGTGAGTAGCTGGCTGCTTCTTTGGCTTCCTTTTAATTGTCTCTGCTGATCCCCTCCCTCCGTTCCGAAGACTCCCCTGCGAAAGAAAGTATAAAGGGGGGGGGGGTTCAGAGGGATGTGCTAATGCGAGGAAAGCAGCAGAAATCAGAAGAAAGGTATGTAAAGTGTGGCAGCACTGTAGGGACTTGCTAAATGGATTTCACGTGAGGACGCGGTAGATTTTTGTTTGAGGTTCCAGTTCTATGCTCTTAACTCGGAGTGGGCTATGTTCTGAGTGTGGAAAGCATTGTTACAGTGTTAAAAAGTGAGACCTCTTTTCCACTGAAGGCCCACGAACTCGGAGAGATCTAGGATCTTTCTAAAGCTGAATGGTTTTTGAAAGGGAATTGGACTTCGGGAAATTGCCATAGAAGATGTAGTTTAGGAAGGCGTGAAAAGTTAACTTATCTTCAGGGAGGCTTAAAGCAAGAGACTTGGAATTGGTTCTTCTTAATTAAAACGGGTGAACGCTTTGTGGTCGTGATTATAAAGTGGCTTCAGATTATCAGGTGAGAGGCAGTGCTTAGGGATTAAGTTGTTTTAAAGTGGGTGGTAAAAGCTCAAATAACTGGACCGTGTAATTTTATTGGAATGATGAAACTGCATTGACCACAGATTGAAAAGGAGATAACTAGCAAATCAGTTTCAGTCTCTGACCTTGTGTGTCTGAAATTCCAACTACTGCAGTTTTGCTGAATACTTTGACTGGTAAGTGAAAAGATGTTTCAGAGATGCAGTTCGAATTAGCCAGTTTGTGAAGATATCTTGATTGAATATATTAGGCGGAACAGGTTGTGAAATAGTTTCCTACAATTGCAATTCTGTCCTATTTGCATGGGAGTGGATGATTTGGGCTTCTGCGTAGAGTCTAATATAAATGAGTGAGAAAAGCAATTAACCTTGAGAACAGGAACAAATTTTCTAATAGTTGGTAAGATACCATTTAAGGTGCTTTATTTTCTTGAAATGACAGGTGGTTAAAAAAATAGTCTGGGAGAAGAAAATGGCCAATGATAGGTGCTAGTCTAGGAAGGTGTTTCAGTGAATCTATCAACTCTCAGCTGCGTGTGGTGGTATCTAAATCTTGTTCAGAATAGTGTTTCTTTTGCTTATTTATATGCAATTTCTTGGAGAAATGCTGCCTTAAAAGTATCAATATTTGTTATATTAAACTGTTTGAAGAACCTAGAAAAGGTTATCAGTAGCATGTATTGGTTGGCTGTTTCAAATCTTTATTTTCTTCTTCTATTTCATGTAACCAAAAAAGTCAATATTCTGGTCTTGTCCTATGGAATCAAACTGAAGAATGAGTTAGTTCATTGTAACCAGATGTTTCTGGGAAAAAAGAGAATGCTATCAAAATGCTCTATTTCCTTCTTTGTCCCACACATCCAATATTATTGGGATTGGTTTCCTTGTCTTTTTGGCTCAACATAGAAGGACCTATGTACATTACCACCAATTAGTTTAAAATGTGCCAAAGTTTACTTGAACTGAAATGGGACATGACATAAAGTTGTAAAGTTTCCCTGTTTCAAAGTTTATGAAGTACAATACTAGATAAGGCCTGTAATATATTGTAAAACTTCCCTAATTTTTGAGTTCACGACATTATTTTAGCTCTCTTGGCTCCTGCTAAGCAAATCTTAGTGCCATATAGCATTGATCTATTAAAAGAGAGAGGAGAAAACTGACAGTTTGATAGTTCAATTGCTTTATATCCTTGGTCAACTATATGTTACATATATTCCAAATATTGAATACTGTTGAGAAATATTTTCTTCTTTATTGGATCACTTTTCATTGTTTACTCATGAATCATTTCACTGTGATTGATCTGTGCAAGACACTGATGCATGTGAGCATGTATTGTATTACAACGTTTATTATTTTTTATTAATGATCCCTGGAAGGGTTGAGAGAAACTTAACTGTTTTAGACTTTATATTTTTTCAGCATGCACTAAGAAATTAAAAATGTGTATAAGACAGGAATCTTCAGAAACATACACACATTGATTCAAATACATTAATTTATCAGGCGTTTTGTGTTTTTCTGTTGTTTTTTTGTGCAGTTGCTAAGTACATTTCAGAATTTCTGGACTGACAAAGACTACCTTCACAGAAAGAGATAAACATATATTTACTGTATGTATCCCTGTTCGTGGATTGTATGAGGCAATCTATGAATACCATACTTTTAGACCAAATGTTTATGATGCAATAAAAATTTTGTAGTTTGGAATTGTACGGGTGGAGATCAAAAAGTTATAATCTTCCACTTACATATTTTCCCACCACATCTTCTGCCTTTTTTTTTCTTGCTGTTAAAAATTCATTAAGGGAAAAAGAAGAGCTGCAAATTGACTCTTGATTGATAGTGCTGGTATGAAATCAGCATACCTAGGGGTAGCAAGGGAGCTGGACCAGGTCATCTCTGCATTCCTTCCATTAACTATGCTTGCTATGTATTCAGTTCATGATCAGTTGCTGAGAAACGCACCCCTGACAAGACAGATTATAAAATAAAACATAAGAAATAAAAATAGTTCAAAGACAAAACAAGATTTGGAATGTAAAGGGGTTCAAACATTCTCAAGTTTACATACAAACTGTTTTTCATGATTGCACTTTTTAAAAATGTACTTCATAGTATCAAGATATTAATCACTGATAGTTGGTATAAATTGATGAGATCAAAAGGTTTTACATTTATATATTTTATATTTTTAAAGATAACTAATATAAAGTAAAAGAATATACATAAAAATCAGAAAATAAAAATGGAATAGGAAAAATAAGAATGTAGTAAAGGAAAATAAATATATAAAGAATTCATCACAAGTATAAACAATTTTAGTAATTAATCAATGCATAAAATACAACAAATGAAGTCTTTTCCCCATATCCCCTTATCTATGAACAAATCCTTGAAACCTCATTGTTCAGTCCTGATCAGGAACAGTCCATTAAAGGTTACTGGAGATAATATATCTATTTTAACCTTGGTCAAATAAACCAATTTTATCTTCCTTTTACTTTTAACAATCTTGATCTTTAGTCCATTCAAGTAATAGCCTAGAATTCGATTTCTTTTCATTTTTTTCTTTGTCCCTTATTACAACATTCTTCAGAGCATTAGCAAACCTCTTTTGTAAACCTGATAAAATTATCTAGGTCATCATCTTGGTTTGTTATTTGTATATTTCTTCATCATCTTGGTTTGTTATTTGTATACCCATTTTAATTATTAAGACATCAGTTGGTTTCTTTTATATATTCAATATAGCATCTTTTTCTATGTAATTTTTGTAACCTGTCATTTTTAAATCCACATTCAGAACAGTCACAAACTTGTCATAGTCTCTCTATAGAGGCAAGCACTCTTAAAATTAACATCTGAGATCATTGTTCAAAAGTATCCTTCAATATATCTAATCTTGCAATATTTTTCCTCTTTTTTTATTGGTCACATTTAGTCAAATTAGAGAAATTTCAGTATTCTTGCCTTTTAATTGTAATCTTTAATTCCTTCTAGTTCTCCCGACTTACAGCCATTCATTTAAAGACCATTAAAAGTAATGATGGTGCTAAAAAAAGGGACTTATTTATGAGACTTATATACCGCTTTAAATGCAAACACTCTCTAAGCGGTGTACACCAGTAAGCAATGTATATATATATTTACATTGCCCCCAACAATCTGGGTCCTCATTTTACCTACCCCGGAAGGATGGAAGGCTGAGTCAACCTTGAGCCGGTGAGATTTGAACCGCTGACCTGCTGAACACAGTCAGCTAAAGTGGCCTGCAGTACTGCACTCTAACTGCTGCGCCACCTCGGCTCTTATGACTGGTCCTCACATTTACACTGTTGTAAAGTCCATGTGGTCACATTATCAACATTTGATAGCTTGGTAATTGGCATGTAGTACAATAGTTGAAGCACTCTAGTGTCATGTGACCTCCATTTCCAACATTCCCAGGGGGCTTCCAGCGAGCAAAGTCAATGCTTAACGACCGTGGGAATTGCTTAACAACTGTGGTGGTTCACTTAAAACCCCAGCAAAATAGGTTCACTTAATCACTTAGCGATAGAAATTTTGGTCCCATTTGTGGTTGTAAGTTAAGAACTACCTTAGTATCCAATCTTCAAAGTCTCATCCTATCATGTTTTTTAGAGAACTCAAACAACAATATTTTCCTATGGCAAAAATTTTTATAGTTAATTGCAAAATGTTATTTCAAATTCATATGGACCCTCCATTTGTAACTTTCCAAAATCAAAATTCTAATCCCACTTTTTCTGTTCATTTCAAAAGATTTTTTTTAAAAAAAATAAGCTTGTATTTAAAAAATTTTTCACTAAGGATTGAAGGACACTCATCTGGTGCTGTAAAGCAAGTTGACCCAAATCTTCCTAATAACTGAAAAGCAGTTAACAAGCAATATTTATAAGTGATTAGAAAAGGAAGTATGCAAACCCAGTATCTCTTTTGAGGGCACCGAATATGGTTTTAGCAAGATGGTTATTCTCTCATCTCCTAAAGCTCTAACCTCCGGAGATTACTGTGTTGCCATTTCCATGCAAGTAGCAAGTGTCTGGAGCACATAAGGATGATCTCAAGTCTTCTCCTTGTCCAGAGAAGAATTACTGCAAGCTCTTCATTCTTTTAATAGAGTCATCTTCTGTTTGCCATTTCTTTCATCTTAGTAGTTATAGGTTTCTCTTTCCTTGTTGGTTTATCTGTTTTGTTTTTTGTTTGTTTCTTTTTGCTTTTCTGCTCAGCTGCATTTTGCATATACTGGTTTTTACTGGTAAGTTGCCCAGAGTCATTTGGTAAAATAAAATAAAGGCATTTTTGGAAGAGGCTGTATAAAAAATTGTCAAAATAAGGGAAAATGCCTAAGAGCATGCTTCTGTCCATTTTGAGATTTGGGTGTCAAGAGAAACATAAAA